AGAGAAAAAAGAAGTATGGGATAACAGTGTTACTTCACACTTCTGTACTGATATTGTTCTCTTTCTCCACCATGACTGCTTGGTCGCTCTCTCCAAAGTCCTAGATAGGATTTAAATTTAGAATGCCTGTAAATCTCAGTGAAACAGGTTCATTTGTGTAAATCTGTTTGCAATATTTTTGGTTTATTCAGATTTGCACTCCCAGTTTTTGCTGCATACTTGCTGTTTACAATGGCAGCTTGAAACTCAAATTTAGAATATCTATGCTGGGTGCTGACATTTTTTCTTCTTCAGTTTTCAGCAAATTTTCCTTCCAAAATTCAGTTCTCAAGTTAGCAAAATTATTATTGCTTATTTTCTTCCGAGTCCCTTTGAAATGAAGCCTATTCTTGAGTGGCCCAAGTGAATGAAGTCTATTCTGAGCAAGTGTTGAGACCATCTTGAAGTCCTTTTTCTTTTTTTGCATTGAAGCTTCTTGAAGTCACCTTATTGTTCTGTGTTTTAGCTCTATCATTGCATTTTTAGACTGGTTTCATAATTTTTTTGCCGTTTAGCATGTTTTTATTGGAAACATGCTATAAATCTAGTATTTCTGTCATTCTGAACAGAAGCTTCGCAAGGTTTTTGCTGAAAATGAGCTTCCCTCAAGGGCTTTCAAGGAGAATATTTCTAAGCAGCTGGGCCTTTCAATTGAAAAGGTATGTATGGATCCTTTCATTTGTAGATTTAGGGGATTACATTTACAATCAAGGACACAAGAAGCACCCTAACCAATTCAAAGGATAATGGTTGATACATATGTGCATGCACACACGCATCAATGCTAAACCTAATCCCAAAACTGAGATTTTACCCAAAACAAAGTAGTGGAGATTAAGCATACCTACACATATGGAATAAGTCCTTGAGATATCTAACTTTTCCTTCTACTATGTTCCCTCTTCTTGGCTTTGCAGTATCTTCTTCTTTTTCACTTTCAACTCACCCCGCATTGCATCACTGGCATGCCTATTTGGGTCTTTGCAGGTCAGCAAGTGGTTCAAGAATGCTAGATATGCTGCTCTCAAAATCAGAAAGGTGATGCATATGGACACCCATTACAATTAAAATCGAGATATTATAAATTCTATTTATGTTGATATTGAGGTGTTAAATCTTATTCCTCTGTCCATGGTATGCCAAATATCTGTCCCCATTCTGTTTTGATTGCAATAATATCTTTAACCATGAATTCATATAAAATAGAAATGTGTAAATTGCAAGTTCAAGTGAGGACATACAAATGAGGGATAAAAATCTTTTAAGGCTTCACTTTCAGTTGCAGCCATGTTTTTTAACCTACCAGCCACCATATTACCACTCAGGTTTTGCCACAATATCCCTCCTCTTCACCCTTAGGTGAAAATAGAACCGGAGGACCCTACATAAGAAATCACTTGACCTTTTCCCTTTCCCTCCTCCAATGAACTTTGCATAATCCGAAAATATCCCTTTTGCCAATACCCTTTAGATGTGTTCATTTCATTCATTGCAGGCAGATACCACAAATGGGCCCAACAGGGAAAAAGTGAATGTAGCATCAAATATTGGGTTTCGAACAAAAAGCAAGTTGACAAGAGCTCATGTGGCCAAAACCCTACAGAGTGGTCACACGAGAGAGAACCCAAAATCATCACCCATGCCCTCAAAGAAGAGCCATAGAAGGGTACCGAGCGCACTGCCTGCCGACATAATCAAGGTATAATTCAACTTAAAATCGATAGATCAAAGAGGGAATTTTTTATCGTTAGACAAATTTTGTAGTTATTACTTTTAGAACCCTACATAGAAGAATAGACACTCATATGCACTAATGCTCTTATCGATGACATGAACACAAATAAATTATATATATATATATATATATATGAAAAAAGTTTATATAAGGTTGCAACCTTAAAATGTAGAACTATGGATGCACTTCCAAAATCCATCTAAAAAGGTTGTTTTAATGTTGAAAAACCCTCTAATTGAGCATCTCGACATTGAGATGTATGATTATGAAAGAAAATTGGGTTTTGAGTCTCAAAAATAGGGCATCTTACATCACATTATCTAGACCGTCCTTTTCAAAATTGTCATATGTTTTTAGATCTACTTAATTTTAACCATTTTTGAAGTTTAAAATTTTATAATTAGATATAAAAATAGATTTTGAGATAATCCTAAGAATATTTTGCACCAAAATTATATGTTATGATCAAATTTGAAGGTGCGCCTTGATTGGATTGTTTGAGGTTGCAACCTTATAGAAACCACACCCTATTTATATATAGTTTTATGTATGCTTTCAGAATTGGGAAAAGTCTATATAGAGCCGAGGTTCTAAACAATCAAATTTGACCCTACCTAAAAATTTTCACTAGAAGAGGTTATTTTGATACCCGAATATCATCAAATTGATCATATTGACATCAAGATTCATGGACATGAGAAAAAATAGATTTTAAGTTTAAGAAGTAGTGTATTTTGTAACACATTTTTGGACCGTCAATTTTCAAGATTTTCAAGTTTTCATAGATCTGTCAATCTGCACTATTTTTTGAAGCTTTAAACTTCATAAATAAAGATGAAAATATATTTTAAGGCTATCACTAAGATTTCAAGTATTAAAACCATATTTCTCGACACGTATTTGAAGGTAGGCTCTAATTTGATCGTTTAGAGCCTAGGGTCTATACAAACTGCACCCTTCAGAATTCCCCTTGAAATACACTTCCAATTTCTGCTCTTAGTATCATTTTTTCTGCACTCTTCTTGTTGAGCACTGAAATATTTGATAGTTTTTGACACTAAAACCAACTACATATAAGATATAACCAACAACAACACCTTCATTTAGATGAATGATATGTATGTTGGGGAGAGTCGGGAATCCTATTTAAGTCAATACTCTCTCTCTCTCTCTCTCTCTCTCTCTTACACACACCCACACACACACATCATTGTTCCCTCTTCATTACTTTCCTCTCACACACACACCCACACACACACACATCATTGTTCCCTCTTCATTACTTTCCCTTCCAGTTTAGTCTTCAAAGATTAAGGATCATGACTATGGCATATTGTATGATGCAGAAACTACAGGCAGCTTTTACAGAGAATCAGCTTCCTACAATTGCTTCCAAATTAAAATTATCAAAGCAATTAGACATCTCTTATGACCAGGTCAGTCCTTGTACAATACTCGACTGTGTTGGGCCTCCCTTTATTTGTGAGGTACATTTGAACTTTTCTTTATCTTAATTACTATTAAACCCTTGCTGAATCATTGTAGTTTCATTTTCTTTAATTTCAGGTGCACATGTGGCTTAAAATTTCTGGTCGCTTGCCCAGGAGCAAAATGAGGACTCAAGGCTCAAAAGACAAATCTACTTCAAAAAAGGAAAGGAGGGGAACTACCCATTGTGATGCTGATGTAGGAAAGAAGGAAATGGGTGATACAGGAGAGCTATATTTAGCTGAGTTGGAGAGATTGTTTGGTTTAGAAATGAAGATTGAGAGACTCAGAAGGAGCTTGAAATTGGCCAAAAGTAACTGTTCAAATGGTGGAGATGATAATATTGATAAAGGGAACAGACCCACCTCAATTGAACCATTTGTCATGTATGTACCAGTTGCAGAGGTAAGGGAGAAGTTGTGATTTCTTTTACTAAATGAAAAGTCATTCTTTGCATCTCTTTCTTGCATGGAAAGTCATAGCACAATGCTCTTTGGTTTGAATCCCAACTCCCTCAATACACTTGCATGACACACCAAAGAAAATTATTTTTGAGTGAGAAACAAAGCGAAAACTGTTCTTAAATATTCACTTCGCTAATGAATTCCGCTTTGAATGAATTCTTCGGCTTCAGCCCCTAAACCAAGGAGAAGCTAATCACTCTGTCACTATTTTTCAATTTCTATTTTCAAAATATCCCAACTGTATTCAAAAGTTTTTATAATACTCCGCAATATTCAAACTTTTGGAGAAATACCACCATCATATTAGAATTTTTAAGAACACATTTATGAAGCCCAATGATGCAGAGTTTTCAGAAATTTTATTTTTATTTATTTTAATGTATTCTCGAAGACTTACCTCAAATTGCCTGGAGAACTGAAATGCACTTCTTCCCAGTCAAAACAAAGAGCCCTCTGAAGCAAATTTGATAATGTTTGTTCTTGTTATTTGAATGTGTATTTTGGTCAGTTGCCGGTATTTGTCGAACTTATTCTAATAGGACAACAAAACAAAAAAGCAACGGCGTAAAAGGCAATAAAAATACTGAACTGGAAAGTGAAAAATACATGTGAATAGAAAGCATATCTCACAAGGGATTGTACGTTGTAGTACATATTATGAAATAACAATATGTGAATAAAAATAAGGAAAAAGTTCATACAAGGTTGCAACCTTAAAATGTAGAATTGAATCACATATGCACCTCAAAAATCCATCGGAAAATGTTGTTTTAATGTTGAAAAAACCCCTAATTGATCATCTCGACATCGAGATGTATGAATATGAAAAAAACAAAAGATTTTGAATCTTAGAAGTAGTGCATCTTGCAATACATTATCTAAACCATCCATTTTCAAGATTTCCATATGTTTATAGATTTACTTGATATTAACTATTTTTGGAATTTAAAATTTTATAAGTAGATATGAAAATCGATTTTAAGATAATCCTAAGAATTTGTTTCACCAAAATTTCATGAAAGTGTGCCTTAATTGGATTGTTTAAAGTAGCAACCTTATAGAAACCACCCTCTAAAAATAATGAACTGGAAAGTGAAAAACACGTGAATGGAAAGCATATCTCTAACGCGATTGTACGTTGTAGTACATATGATGAAGCAAAGATTTAAAAAGCGGATCGGTCATCCGGATCGGGCACCTCAAAAATTGATCCGGATCGGTGAATCAACTATCCGGATCGGGAATCGGCTGCATCGGTCAGATTAAAGCTTCAAAAAAATCCAAAAAAATTATTAAAATTCATTATAAATGTTGTTTTTTAGGAATCCAATAAGAAATGCGGGTACTACATTATTAACTTTCAGTTTTTTCATCAATTTGTGAATATTGAGATGCTCTTTCCCTGTATAAACTTAAGTATTAAATTTGCATCACATAAAAAAAAAAATCATAGCATTATCATGGATAAAATATATAATTATATATGAACTATAATAAAGAATAGACTAAATCAATGAAAGAATGGCTATTAAAATCTCGTTTTGGCAAAAAACCCTAATCTGCTAAAAAAACCCAAATTATTACAACCTAATTAATTATAATCCAAAATTATTACAACCTAACTAATTATAATATTATATACTGAAATTATAATTATTAGTTTACATTTTATAATTATTTTATTAGATAAATAATAAAAACTTAAAAATATTTTATAATATTATCTAATTTAAAATGTAGTATTGACGACTGTAAGAAAAATAGTACATTACATGATTTATAATGTAAAAATTAATAAATAAAATAAAATATTTGGTTATCAATGTAAAAAATAATAAAATGCGTACACATTTTGGAAATAACATTTCAATTTTTCAAAAATATATTTTTTAGGTTTCTATAATAAATTTAGTGAAAGAGATTGTTAGTAGAAAGATGGAGATTTCAAATAGAATAAACTTTTTATTTTTTATTTTTTTATGCCTTTCATATTATTTACAAAAATAATTATACTACTATATACAACAAAAATTAACTGCTATACAAAAAAATAACTTCTTTATTTTTTATTTTTTTATGCCTTTTATATTATTTAAAAAAATATTATTACAATATACACAACAAAAACTACTATATAACACAAAAATGCAAAACTATACAACACAAAAATACAAATGCAACGCCCAAGGGGGGATTCGACTCTGGGAGGTGAAGTGAAAAAGCAAAAGACATAACCACCACGGCAGCTCACCACATGTGGTTATAATTTGCTGATTAATAGAATATATTTACATTTCCTTTTCATTTAATGATGTTTAGGAATTATCCTACATCGAAATATGGGTATTCAACTTTGGTATATAATACCTATATAATATGAATTAAAACATGCACTTGAAAACATTGGGGCAACCTCACACGTGCGTGTGTTTGTGTATGTGCACTGTGCGTGTGGCACGTGTGGGAGTGTGTACGACTCGTGTGACACGAACACACGTGCGTGAGTGGTGTGTGTGGCGCGTGACGCGTACACACGTGTAAAAGCTAGAACCGGGAGGCAACCGGTTATAACCTGGAGGGAACCGCTAGAATCGAGAGGGAACCGGTGGTTTTGCTCTGAAACCGTGGGCGGTTCCCGATTTTGTGCTGAAACCGGCAAGGCTTGTGCCGATTCCCGAGTCGAACCGGGCGAGTCCGGTTTGACTCAGCGATTTTTAAATCATTGTTACGAAGTAACAAGATTTGAATTTTAGCACATCAATGGAAATAGTTAGATTTTTTTTTTTTTTTAAAAGAATTCATGCAATTTAAGATTTTTGGTCGTCTCTGTTTGACTCCAACAGTTTTTTTTTTTTTTTTAATAGTTCATGGGTACCAAAAGACGTACATAAAGTTGTTGGGCAATAAAGGCAGAAAAAACCTTGAATGTTGATTTAGAATTTATTCAATTTAAGATAGTTGGGCCATCTCTGTTGATAATATGATATTAAGCAAGCAACGAAGTGATTCTTCCATGGCCACTTGGACATAGGAGGAGGCAAATGTTTTCCACACTAAAAAAGAAAACAGTGATGTACAAACTTTGAGAAAACCGACATTCTATGCAACAAAAATGAAAACAGTTATAACAAAAAAAAAAAAAAAAGAAAAAAAAAAATAAATAAAACCAAACTAATTGGAAAAGTTAAGCACAAGGTCACAGCTTTACCGTCGAATTGATCATCTCAACTTGGATGGTAGTGCCCGGGGATTCCAAGCCCTCCTAATAGTACATTTTGTAACACATTATTTTTCAGATGGATGGTAATGCCCGGGGATTCCAAGCCCTCCTAGTAGTTCATTTTGTAAAACATTATTTTTCAGATCGTTAGTTTTCAAATGTTCATGGATCCACCAGAATTGTGCCAATTTTTTAGATTTAAAGTTCATAAACAAAAGTGGAAATAGATTTTCAGGCTGTTGTAAAGGTCTCCGGCGTTGGAACTACGTTTCCCAGTGGACTTTCTAGATGCGAATTTATGAAAAGAACCATGACATTAGTAATGCAGAACCATGACATTTTTCGCTCACTGCAAGCCATACAATCTGGTAGTAGTTGTGCAAGGCACACAAGATTTGTATTATCCTATGAGGATCTTTCGTAAGAATGAAAGCATAGCCACCTTTTCACATTTCACATAAAGTTCAATCCGTATGGGTTGATATCCAAACTCTAATGCATCAAACTATTATTTTCTCCCCACAAATTCTTTTTAAACCTTCATGTTAGTATACTCTTTCCTTTTTTTTTCTCTCTTTGAGAAAAAGCTCTAATGCATAATTTCAATCTGTGCAACTAGCCTTTATTTGCACACTGTGGGGTGAAGCCACATAGGTAAATATTGAAGAAGAAAAGGAACTTTTATCATCCAAATGAGAGATGAATTATTTAACATTCTACCCATATCTTTTTATTTGATTTCAAAACACACATCAAAATATACATGACCCATCAAAATACATGACCATAAGTTGGAATAATTACATTTAAGAAAGCATTGAATAGTTCGTCTCTTATAGGTATTTCGATAAATTTCCAACAATAAAATTACTAGATCAAGTGCTTGTATTCAAAGATCATAAACTGGTGTTACACAGATTCTTAGGAATAAAGGGTACAGCTCTATCTCACACACACACACAGGAAAACAAACCAAAAGTAAAAATTCAGACATCATGTACAAAATATTTTTATTGTAATTATCCTCTATATCAACCAATACATATCAAACTAAGATTTTTCTCTGATGAATGATTTTACAAAAAAAAAAAAATACAAATACATGTTAGTACAAGCACATCCTTTGGGCCCAGACTCCAAAGTAATTCAACGACAAAAAAGAGGTTGCTCATGTGAACTAAGCCGCATCAACTTCTATGTCATGGTTAGGCCTAGGACTGCCGAAGCAATATCCCAAAATTCATTTTCTTCCCCTTGTGATACAATCAATTGCAATTGAGATGAACACAAAATTAAAGGATGCAATCTTCGCACGTACAAAAGCTCATCTCTTTGTTGGTGTTTCCCTGCAAAATCCTTCCTCCCAAAAAATAGATACAAAAACTAGGTTATATGCATGCATCATGGCAGACCATCTTCATCACCCACCTCAAAGATGCACTTTTCTTTCACCTTTCATGTCAACAAGAATTCTTGACTAGCCAGTAAAACGCTATACCCCCTTTCACCTCTCTTTAAAATTTTATACGTCCATTGATCCTCACTGCTTGAGTTTCTGTTTTCTAGAAGCCATCCTAAGGTTCAGCTGCATAAATATGAAAGGAAAGCAAGGAAATTATAAAACTTTATGCAGGAACTAATAGTTTTTAAGTAATATTTATTTGTAATGACATATTGTTAGAAAGCGGAAGCATGGAAGGCCATCTCCCTCTCTCTCTCTCTCTCACGCAGAAACTAGTAGTTATTTGACACGACTTTATTTTTTGTAACAAATTGTCATGAAACTAATAGTCTCTCTCTCTCTCTCTCATGGAGGTGCACTTCTAACACTAAAGCCTCAGAAGCTGCAACCATGGCCTTCGCTCATCAACACTAAACAAGTATAACACAAAACAACTAAAAAACTATGAGGTTAAAAACTGCGGACACTGGTAAAATGGGACAAAACGCTCCAACTACAAGAGGACAAGAAGAAAACGAGCATAAAAAGAATGTAAAGAAGTACCAACAAATGACCTGGAAGAAGACAAAACAAGAAGGAACAGATCTCAAAACTACTCCCGTGGGCGAAGATAAACACCTACATGGCATTTCAGTCACCAAATTGGAGAGAAGGTAAAACCAAAGCAGCAGAGGATGAGGAATGGATGGCATGCTGGTAAAAACATCCCCTACATCGAAAGCCCAAACATTACAGAAGCTGTGAAAAGCATGGTTAAGACCACATAGAGATATGGAGGCTCAAATTCAATACAAATTGAACATGAAATAGGATATAAAAGAAAGTATGTGGCAATATCATCATCATTGTCAAAACTGCACGAATCCTTGTCCGTCATTCAGTCATGATGCTCTATTAAGGATTATATCCTCAATGAGGCCATAAGTCACCATATCCTTTCTCACCACTTCCAACCATTCATTTTGGGCCTACCCTTTTCTCTTTTTGAGCCTTCCACTTGAACTAACCCGCACCTCCTAACAAGTGTTGTATTGGGTTTACGCCACACATGGCCAGCCCAACTAAGTCTACTCTCTCTCATCTTATCGCCACACCTAAATTGTCCAAATGTATTTATTTAGTATTCTATCCCTTCTTGTCTTACCACTATCCATCTCAACACAACATCTCCCCTACAAACATTCTACGGGTAAATTGTTGTTTGATCGTCCAACATTCTGCCTCATAGAGCAAAGCTGTTTTCACAACTGCCCTATAGAACTTTACCCTTTAGCTTCATTGGGATGCGGCGATCACATAAAATTCCGGTTACACATCTCCACTTCGCCTGCCCCACTCTAATTCTATGCGCAACATCTTCCCCGATCTCTCCATTTTCCTGGATTATCGACCTAAGATATCAAAAATGCGTTCTTTTTGGTATTTCTGGCCGTCAATCTTAGTTACTTCGTCTCTACTCCTATTATTACTAAACTTACATTCTATATACTCTGTCTTAATCCGGCTAATTTTAAAACCTTTATATTCTAGAGCATTCCTGATGTATACCTATTATCACTAAAAACTCACTCGTCTGTCTACTAGTTGTTTGTACATTAGTTACCTCATCGTACATATCACCCACCAATTCGATGTAGTGTCTGAATACTCATTTCTTTTGCAACACCCACCAAACCAAATCTCGAGATACTTTAATCAAAAGCTTTCTTTAGATCAATAAAGACTAGAAAAAGCAATATAGATAGTCATAAAATTTCTAAGGCGTGAAACCATGTTTCAACCATTTGAAAAGTGGCAAGGGCAAATGTGTGGGTATTGAAAAGCCAAGGCAGATCCAACAGACAAAGAAGAGCCAAGTCAAGAAGTTACCAAGGACTAGAGCCGATGAAACCATGTGCCAAAACATAATGGACAGATCAAAACCTGCACTCGGATGGTTTCTTACTGCTGATACCCCAGACTGGACAAGAGATGGAGGGTCCAGAGAAGATGATGTGGCCAACTGGATCTTTTGCACGCCTGAACATATCTAAGGCTCAGGAAGAAGTCAGACCCTTATCAGGTGCAAGTCCAGAGGACAATTTGTCCACTGTTAAAAGCACTCAAGCAAAACTGAATAACGTCATATTCCCCCAAAGGAAGATGGATGTAACACTGAGATCCTTGGGAATAAAAATTCTACCTAGTCTAACAAAATCTAGAGAAGGACAACCAAGCCAAAACAACAGAAGGAAACACTTTTACAAAGGTATGGTATGGGACCAGATAATGCTAAGAAGTAGGTGGAGGAAGTAGCAAAGTGATTAGTCAATGCAAGGAAGTAGCAAAGTGGTTAGTCAAGGCACTGGAAAACAGAAGCAAGCTTTCTGAACGTGGAATGAATAAACAGATGTCAAGAATATTTATTCAGAACATAATGATACAAGTAGCAAGCAGGAAATGGGAGACAAGGTTTTGGATAGATGCCAGGCTTAGACATGAAGAGCATTGAAAGATGCTAATATTAAGTGTTTCACTAGAAGATGATCTTCTAGCAGAAGTAGAGCAGCTGTCTCATACAGTTAGGAAAGAAGCCAAGCTGATACCCAGACCTGATAGAATTATGAATTAGAGCCAAACATCAGCTTAGCTTTTTCAACGTTCGACTCATTGTTGCCCCACCAAAGAGGCTAAGACTAAACTTTTGCATGGCTCGTTAAAGCACTTAAGATTCTGACAGCTCATCATCTGGCAAGGTCAGGAATGATCATCCCAAACATTTGGTTGATGTAGTAACAAGAGTCAGAAACAGTGAATCACCTATTCTTTCATTGTCGTATAGCCAATATATGGACCTTTGCATTGAAACTATTTATGTTAAGCTGGGTCATACCACGCTCAAATGAAGCAATGAGCAATATACCCCCATTCCCTAAGCCGAGGCGCATGTTGTGGAGTCCACACATGCTGGCAATCTTGTGGCTAACATGGCTCGAACAAAACAAAAAATGCTTCAATGACCAGAAACAAGGAAAAGAGAGAAGGAAAGACGAAATAATTTCGTGGTCCAGGCCCTAGTTTTTCAGGGCAGGGCCAGCCATTGCCACCCAACTTCGAGGAAACATTTGCTCAAACAGTAATTGCTAGTGTAGTATGCCAGCAGAGTCCAAAACTTGGCTGACTCAATGACTAAAAGAGGAATTTTCATTACAAGTGAAAAAATTTGAGGCTTAGGCTAGCAGCAATTCAATTGAGCTTTAGTGCATTCATATCAATATAAACATGAGTTAAAGATGTATAGACTACATTTTGTAAAGTCCTATACCTGTACACAATCTCGATCAATGAAAATTTAGAATTCTATAAAAACAAGTCATACATACCGATTTAACATATTTCAGATGCTCAAGGATCTCGTCTGTTGGAAGCTCCTAAAAAATAAAAGCATACACTATTAACATAAACATAGTAAGAGTAAGACAAAAATACAAGTGTCCCATAACGTAATGATGATATAAAACGCCAGTCCATAGGGTAATCCCCATCCAACGATATGGATAATGATGGAGAGAACCTAATGTTGGGGGGTCCTGTCCTCTTTTGGTGGGTCCCAATGTTGATCGATGAACCTAACAAAAGGTCTATGGTTTTCCATAATCACTTGAATTATACTACACTTCAATTTTCAAAAACTATCTTTTATATGTGCAAAATGATGTATAACCTATATTAGATCTGGGTTTTACTATCCAAGATGGATGCAAGTGTCAAAAACGCCAATCTGACATTATGTTCGTACACCATTCAAAAACAGGGGACGTGGAATGTTAAATGACATTAAGTACTTCTCTAGTGATATTTCAAGATGGAAGGCTAGAAGAAGTGTCTACATTCCTGAAGTATCAAACACAAGATTCATGTCTTTGGTGTGTCGAGACTCGAGACACAAAAACTGTCATCATAGGTATAGCATGATGGTAAATGGTCAAATCACCTGAGGCACAGCACAATCAGCATGTAATGGGTCCCAAAGAACTGAACATGAGCAATCCCAATCATCAGTTTGAACATCGGAAAGACGAGCCCTGAAATCAAAGTTGAAACTTTAAATGAGACAAGTTCTGTAAATTTTTTGCATACAAAATATAAGAGAGTCCTTGTGTTGATCATCGCAGTCAAGTAACTTAACAAATCACTCTTGACATTACTAACTAGGTATTTTGCAAGGCTTAATTACTATATGCCTGTTTGGATGCACCTGTTATTTTTTACTGTTTAGATAAAAATAATCATCATAAAAAGTTGTTGTTTGGTAGAGTCCTTGTAAAATTATTCATGATGAACATATTGGTTTGATTCCATGCAACTTTATCCTTTCTAAAGTTGTTTTCATTTTACATCATATAAGTTAATCTTTTATGAAGGTCTCTCTCTCTCTCTCTCTCTCTCTCTCTCTACTACGTACTACTACGTACGTAAGTAAGAAGTAAGGTAAGGTAAGGTAAGGTAGTACGTAGTACGTAAGTAAGTAGTAGTAGTAGTAGACGTACGTA